ATGGTGACTTATAGTTCTGCAAAGGACAAAGGTACCAGACTGCACAATAGGGGTTAAGTCTTGATCAATTTGTGAAGGCCTTAACAACAATGAAGACCTCATGAAACTTTGGGAATAGCTAGACCTTGGGGTCTCTGCCTCTCTCGGGAGCTGTAGTTCTCCAAGGACGGGGAGCAAAGCTTGCTTCCAGAGACACCAGATCCATTTGGGCCACTCAAGAACTCCTGCCAGGACCTTTGTGCAACACCCTTGCGTTTTAGCCATCCCCTATGGACACTCTTTCCCCCCACATGGACAAACCTTATGAAATCTTGCCTTTTATGAACTTTAGATATATGAAATGTGTTTTCTGATTTCTTTGTGTGGCAGAAGCCTTTCCCCTTTTCTTCTGACCTTTGTTTCCCCTATATACATGAAGAAACTCCACCAAAGGGACTACAAAGCCCCAAACATTCCAGGAATTTTTTTATCCACAACTTCCTTTTGCATGAACAATAGCCTGGGCAGCTGGTGGCCCTCGGAGGAATTGCCCAGCCCTCAGCTTGCCCCTTTGGCAAAAATCTTAATCATTTTTCCTCCTGAAGGACAAAAGGTCCTCGAAAAAACATTTTGCCTTTGCTCTGATTATTCATTCCACTCAAAGCACAATAGATCAGGCTGGCCTTTGTCTCGCCGGCCGCATGGCATGGCACTTCCTTTCCCAGATTCCTTTGTGCTCCCTCATCCCGCCTCCATCTCTCCTGATTGGCTGTCGCCACCAGGTGGCAGAGGTCTCCCCTTTGGTTCCTACGGACCACTGGAGCCCATCGCCCAATCATGGCAGGGAACAACAGGGAAGCCGGGGCGGGGAGTTTGAACTCTACAACTTTGAATTTGCTATAAATATGACTATATTGGTGTATTCCCCTCATGCTTAGCTTGGCGAATGATTGCAGCTTTGCATCCGGTTTCAGCTGAATCGCATTAAACTTCGGTGGCCTTTCTTCAACTGGTGAGACTTTTCATTGGGAAATCAGGGAAAAATATGGGATGCTTCTCTGTCTCGCCAGGGAAAAAAGAACTCTTTGAGGAGTCTAATTGGTCTCTGCCTCCTGGCAAAGACCCCTAAATTTTATCTCTAGAACAACAGGAACATAGGGATCCATGGCTTGTGCCAACTGTATTATGGATATGATGCGCTTCTTGGAGAGGGAGGACACAACAAAGCATAAAGTTATGAATGTTAAAGTGGTGCATTAACTCTACAGTGTAGATGCGCTCAAGAGTAACCCTGTGGAAACGAACCTTCATGGAGCCACAGTCGCACTCCTCCCCGTCTTCCACGATTTTGTTGCCACAGGTGGGAGCTCGGTAGGAGATCTCAATGTGGGGCTTGTTGAGGAGGCACTGGGCCGTGCCGTAGCCAAGGAAATTCCGGTAGTCCTTCACGCTGCAGCTGCTGAAGGCCTTGACACCACTGGACCGTCTGCAGGGCGGAAAAAAAGGGCAGAGGAGAGGTTTCCCCCAAATGTAGAAAGACAAGGCCACAGAAAGTTGCACTTCCGTAACAGTGGTAGTTTTACAAGGTCTTTAGCCTTCTCCGCCAAAGGGTGCTGGGACCCCACCAAACTGCAGCTCCCAGTAGAAGTGAAGATGGGATAACAAGCCGCACCTACTCAAATTAAAGGTACAGGAGCCCCTTACAGTCTTCACTTATGGAAACTCTAGCATTACTTCGCTCATTTTGGATCGACGCCTGACTGAGCGCTCTTGCAAAATACTATCAGCCTTTTACATTTGTGGGGGAGTGGAGTGAGCTCCCGCTGTTAGCCCCAGCATCTGCCAACCTAGCAGTTCAAATGTGAGTAGATCAATATTTATTTATTTATTTATTTACCTGACTTAT